TTCCCCTTGTCCCTGCCCTCCCTTCATCCCTCCTCCCCTCCCCCTTTACAAACACTTCATTTCCAGTTTTTCATTTTCTCATATTTTTTTCTTTTCCCTTATTCCCTTTCCCCTACCCTTCCCACTTTCCCTATACCTTTAGCCCCTTTCTTCCTATTTCACATTGTTCATTATATCATTAGGATCTTATGTACTATTATAGTTTATTTACACCAGAGAAACTATTCAGTATTTACACGTGTGACTTATTTATTTCACTTAGGAGTATATCCTCAATATTTATCCACTTTCCTATGAATGACTAATTTCTCATTCTTTATGGCTGAGTAATATTCCATTTTATAGAAAAACCACATTGTTGGTGGGAGTGCAGACTGGTGCAACCACTATGGAAATCAATATGGAGATACCTCAAAGAGCTGGGACTAGAGGTTCCATTTGACCCAGCCATCCCTCTGCTGGGTATCTTTCCAAAAGAATCGTACCACAGTGATATATGTGCACCCATGTTTATAGCAGCACAGTTTGTAATAGCTAAAACTTGGAAACAGCCCATTTGCCCATCAGTTGGAGACTGGATAAAGAAGATGGGATTTTTCCCGACAGTATTCTGGTGTCTTCAACCCATCCACATTAATGCTCACATTTATTTTATTTAGTGCTTACCATGCATGGTGTACTACACCGAGTACCTGACAAAACCTGTGTTATTAAATCTTCACAGCAAACCAAAAGTGACCGTCATCATTAGTTTTCTAAGTTTACAAGTGAAGACATGGAGAAACAAGAAGGTTAAATAACAGCGAGTAAGTGGGAGAACAGAGATTTGAACCTGAGCAGCCATAGGCCTGAGTCCTTCATCACTGCTGGACCCTGATCCCACACAGCTTGGTTAAAAACACCGCAAGCAACATCCTATATATATTTGCTCAAAACCTCTCCTCAGAAATACTTCTTCAAAGTGGAATGAGCTGAGTGGGGAGCAGGACTGTGTCATTTGTCCCACTCACAGGATGCCTGGATCAAAGCCTCTCCATGCTGCTCTGGTGGCTCTCCCAGCCCTGTTCAGTTCCCTGAGGACGAGGACTGGGCATGCTATGCCTGCCCCTTTCATGTTGTATTGAAAATGCAATGAAGTACAAGAAAAGTAAAAGGGGTAGAATGGCTAAAAGGAAAATAATAATAATAATAATAATAATAATAATAATAATAATAATAATAATAATAATAATCTGCATTTCATTTCAAATCCAATAGTAGATTTCTTCAGGAATGGTGGTCTTGATTGTTTCTGTGGGGGCAGGCAGGCAGGAAAAGGGATGCAGTGTACAGTCTACTGATGGTGAACCTTTTAGAGCTTTCAATGATACAAACAGCCTGCGGCGGCTCAGGTGCCATAGGTTCACTACCTCTGGTCTAGGAGGTACAGATATCAACATCACGGGTATCAGTTAGCATGGCCTTGCAGGCAGATCACTGAAGAAGGTCTGAGCAAGATTCTGCTCTTCCACCTTGGAATGCTGAATGCCCAAGCTTCAGCAAGGTCAGGTACACAGACCTGACTGAGGAAGACCCTGCCAGTCAGCAGAAGTCTGTCTGTCAACAGACAGGTCTCCAATTCTCTGGAGAGATGCACAGGGTAGAGGCTGGCAAGGGGGTGACCATGGGAAAGTAGGGTGTTAGAGCTCAGGATCTATAAGGCAAGTGAGCATGTTCCTCCCAGGGGTGCCCTGCTGGATAAAGTGGCAAATGCCCAAATTGACCCGATGGCTACCAAGTTCCAGGAAATACTGTGCTGGTCTTACCTGCTCTAGTCCCCACAGGATTGAGGTAAGCACTTAATAACAACTTTCAACTATGACAACAGCAGCAAACCCTCCTATGTCTTATTTCAGAAACCCAAAGCTTACTTCTACGAAACACAGAGCACTATTCAGTGGAGATGGAGCAGGGAAGTTTCCCCTCTGATCTGACGTTGCTTTCCATCCAATCTGGGGCACATCCTGAGGAAGAGAAACCAAAGCACAAGCATCTGCTCCACACTAACACAGAGAAGGGGCCTCCCACCAGCCTTTCCTTCAGGCAGAGGCCCAGCCAAGAGTCACCAGCTTATTGCACTTCCCCACCAGAGGGGGCACCACGACCACTCAAGGCCTCCATTTTGCTAGTGAAACCTGGAACCTCAGCACCAGACAATCAAACCTGTCTCCAAGATACACATAGTTCAATCTGAAGAAAAATACTCAACCAACCCAACTACTTTCAGCTACACATCTATGGAGTTTTCTTTTTTAAGACTGTATTTTTTCCTTCTTTACTTAAGTCCACCTGATTGCCAAAATACAACACACTTGGTAAAGGAAAAGTGCAAAATGAACTCTGGAAGGAGCCTGCCTTCCCCAGGCAAACCAACAGAGCATAGGCTTTGCTTGCCAGCACGAACTACATCCACAAAGAAAAAACTGGGCGGTGAAGTGGGGCAGGCTAAAGAACTCCTGCGTGGGAACCAGTTGCTAAGTGAATACTGTTTGCTGACTGATTCTTTTCTCTAGTTAAGATTTGGAGGGCTCAATTTAAAAAAAATTTTAATCTAACTTAACTTGGATATTTAGTAGGAATTTCAAACACTGACATTTCCAAAACTGAGCTCAGCTGGTATCTATACTCAAGCCTTTCCTCTTTCAGGCTTCCCTCAATCAGTCAATGCCAGCATTTTTTTCCACTTCTCAGACAAGAAATGAAGGTGTCAACCTTATCTTCCCTCTCTTTTTTTCAATTCTCCTGCCAATCTATCAGCAAGTCCAGTTGGGTGGGTCTACTTTCAAGGCATCTCCAGAATCCAGCCCCTCTATTCTACCTCTGTTATGTCCAAACCACCATCATGTCCACCTGGAGAGCAACACTGGTTCCTCTCTTCTGTTCTCCACTCATTTTCAACACAATTGTCACAGGGAGCCACTCAGAACAAAAAGTCAGATCATGTCCTCTCCTGCACTAACCTTTTCCATGGTTCCCCACTGCTCCTGAATCAAAGCTAAGTTCTTCTACAACTGTAAGGTCTCACTATATCTCTCACTACCTTGCACCTCCTTTGACTGCTGGCAGCTTCTATACCTGGGACATAGGTCTTCTCCCACACCAAGGCCTTTAGACCTCCTCTTCTCTCTACCTAGACTGCTCTCCCTCTAGCTGGTTCAGTCCTGACTTCACATTCTTACTCCAATGTTACCTTCCCAGTGATGCCTAATTAAAAATCTCAGGACCCCGAATACTTCTGACCCTCTGATTTCTTTCTTTCTTCTACGGCACTTATCAGTGACACATTATACGTTGTACTTGTCTATCTTGTCTCTTCCAACTAGAACATAAGCTCTGTGAGATCTAACATGCTCACTGTTTGGTTGAGCAGTATGCAGTGCCAAATGCCTAGTGAGTGTGTTCAATGAACGCTGAAGATGGGGCAGACACATAGTTTTAAATCAAACAACTATTATGGATGCGCCAAACTGGCTTAGAAAAGTAATAATGCCAATATGATCTGGTTGGATGAGTGATACAAATCAGAGAATGTGACTAAAGCCATTGAAATTCCATTTCTTATAACGGTGGACTAAGTATCTAGGACCAATTCTTCCACTGAGAACAACTAAATCAGGGAAAAAATGTCACATTTAATTAAGTATGAAAAATTCCTTCTTAGATATGTATATTGAAGAACTAGAACCTGGAGAGGTAAGTCCAACGCAAAAAGATGTGTTGGTTCCAAGGGATTCTGGAAGACACAGCTAGAAGCTTTACTGTATTCTCTAAGAGCTGGGGGAGGATTGTGGGTGCTGGTATAGCCTAGGGAAGCAGACTGTCCCCACTTTAAACTGAGACCCCTCAAAGGCCCACACTCCTAGCATGAGGATGAACTGGACAAAACCAGATATGCAGGTCAGCCTGTTCATCATGTGGAACATTTGGAGAAGCCCAAGCCTTCAATGATGAAGGTAGTCTCAGACTGATATGTTCCCAAGTCCCGGCAGGAACTAACAACAATCTTCTCTGGAGGACAGCGATGCCATCTTAGGCCACCATTTGGTCCTATGCATACACTTTCAAATACACTAACCTGCACACAGAGATAGATACCCAACACACAAAGAAACAAAACGCCAGAAGTGAGAACCAGCAGACACAAAAGATGACAACCAGACCGACAGTCCTTGAGATACTGGAATGTCAGACACAGGCTATTATGCAACCAGGCTTACTGTGTTCAAAGAGATAAAAGACAAGCTTGACAATTTTAGCAGAGAAGCTGACAGCATTAAAAATGACTGGGAAAATAAACAGAAATTCTAGAGCAAACATGTGCATCAGGTCCAGTGGGAAGAAAACCAAATGCAGGGGTAATGTAATGATGTCAGTAATCTGACTTTATCTTCCAACGAAGAGAGAGGGAAGTAAGAAATTTTCAAAATAGGGTTGAGTACGCATTTTCCATGTTTATCCACTAGCTTGAACACCAGGCTGTCAGCTAGCCACAGAAAGATTTCTAAATCCCAAGATGCATAGAGGAAAAAAGCAAGCTCTGTACAAGAGACTTTGTAAAAAAATAAATAAATAAATAAAAGAAAGGAACAGAAACAGTATCCAATTTCTTTCTTCTCCATGCCTACAAACATGGAGGTACAAACCTTCCCAGAGCAGGCTTTTAAGCTTCGGGTTTTAGGTCTACATAATACTCCATTGTTTCAGAATCTGCATGTTTCCTACCCTATCAGGGATTCTCAACTGAACTCAAGTGATGCTAGAAATAAGCATCATCCCTGAGACAAACAGCTGTGTCACATCCCGTCCCTCTCCTCCCGCCTTCAGCCTCCCTACCCTGGCTGCTATCTTTACACCAAGGGCAGACAAAAGAAAAACTGTTAGTCATCAGGGGCTATGCCTACTTTCCCCACCACCCCCTTTATTTAAAACACAATCGCTGCAGAAAACAAATGGGCACCTACAGGTCTGAAGGACTTGAAGACTTTCTCCAAGACTTCATGGAGCGTCTTCTTGCCGCAGGAGGAGATGTAGTCCTGCGCTAACTGCAAGAAAGGCAGGCAGTCCTCGCTCTCACTCCACACGTGCTGTGCGCCCATGTCAGGGCAGAAAGAAAACAGAAACCACAGGTCATTACCTCCAGTGAAAATCAAAACGACACACTGACTTTTAAATAATTAATGAATTTGAAGACACCCTCCATTCCAGAGTAAAATCCACACCTTTTCTCCTTCAGTACTGGGGATGAAACCCAGAGCCTCACATAGGCTGGGCAATTGTTTTACCACTTAGCTACCGCCCCAGGCCTTTTAACTTTTTATCCTGAGACAATGTCTCACTAAACTGCTCAAGCTGGCCTCAAACTCAGGATCCTTCTGCCTCAGCCTCCCAAGTAACTGAGATTACAGGCCATGAGCCATTGTACTGGCCTAATTTTTTATTGTGGATCAGAAAATGTCTAGTTCACAGAGCTCCACTGCACCTAACACTTGTGGTTTCTAATCTCAACTGTTCTGTGCACTATCTGCTCACAGGTAGTAAAGACAGCAGCAGGCAGTTATTTCTCACCCACGGTTTTACTGCTTACCTTCTCCAGCAGGCTAAGGATTTTTTTTAAAATAGTAGAGAGGAGAAACCAGGGTCTTTGCCTTCAAAATCCTTCACTTTGCCTTCAGCTACGGACACAGGATTAATTAAGCATAAATGACCATGAACTTGAAACAAGACATTCTTTACCCAGATCAGACTGTGAGTGGGGGTGGTGGTAAATTTACTTCAAAAATGAAATGAACTCAGGGAAAAAATGCAAAGTACTAAGTTACTGGGAAACAGGGGCTTTCTAAAAGCTTTCCTTCCTTCACCATGCTTTAAGAGGGTAGTCTATCCAAGTACCACTAAACTATACACAGAGATGTGATCTTCAGTTTTACTTTGTTCTTAAAGCAGGATTTTTTTTTTTTTTTTGCCATATGAGAATATGTGTTTTAACACATCTTTAAGAGGAGGCAAGGCTCTTCCACAAATGTTCAAGGATCTGGAATAAGCCCAAGAAACAGGCTTAAGATCTAGAAGTGGAAGTTGAGGCTCTCTAGCTGAGTGAGATGGGGCACCTGTCTTCATGGTAGTAGGGTGTCTGTGAGGCACCACAGACCTGTCTCAAGGGCACAAACTGATGACAGTTCACCACTGGTGAAAGTGCTGAGGCCTGGGAGAGGGAAAGACATCTGGCCGACTGGAGTAAGACACATGGGCTAGGCAGCAGGAGATAAGATCTATATGGAGAAATGGTCCATGTCAAGTGCATGCTGGCTCCCTTCTATTCATACAAATGATCAGCGCAATGCCCTAGAAAGTCCTTTACCTGTCACTCAATAAACACATTTCACTGCAGGATTTCCAAGAAGTAGGACTGTAGACTTAAAATACTGCTCAGATCCAAGTGCGGGTAACTAGGTGTAATGTGCCATCTTCATACCCCAATTACCTAGTTCATGCTGTAAAGGTCTGTTTCTGACATCTGCTGCTCTAATTCCAGGAGACTTCTCCAGCACTTCCTCCTGGACCTCATGTAGCCAATAGCTGGGGGTCCTCTAGCTTTAGAACTCCTCCTTATTAATTAGAGACCTCTAAAGCTGCTGAAATGTCACAATGTAATAGTCTCTTACATTGCACAAAAGTCTAATAGTACAAAGTACTTGTATATCCATTATCTCACTTCATTCTTAATGCAGATTCAGTGGAACAACAAAGCCCTATTTTAATAAATTCTGCTTAGGGTCCTTTTTCATACTCAATTGTGCCAAATTTCAGCTTACCTCAAATTATTAACTACAGTAACTATGTTAAAGATGGAATTAACATCTAGTAGCACACAACTTTAAACCTGCCCTCCTGCGACTTACTATGATGGTTGGAGAGTTAAAAGTTTATTCAGTGCTTGGCTGGGGGCCAGGGTGACAGGTAGTAACACCCTCAGTACGTGGTGGACACAGTGCCTTCTTTTCTCTTACACACTTGCAGGAAGATGAGGAGACAAATGGTGAGCTGGACTCCACCTGCCGCAAAGCTAAGGTCACTTAGCTGGAGTACACCAGACACACAGTGTGACTTCACTCTGAATACTGTCCAGGGCAACTGAGTGGCAATTAATTCAGAAGTGGGTAGATTTATGGAATACTTGTATATTTACTTTTTAAAAGTACATTTGGGCTTTAAATCACAAAGTAAACAGAAGAGTGCTAGGCCCAGGATTTGGCTCAGTGGTTCCACTGCCTGTCTGGCAAGTGCAAGGTCCCAAGTTTGATCCCCAGTACCAAAAAAAATCCAAACAAACAAAACAAAACAAAAAACAACAGAAGAGTGCTCCTTAATAACAGATCGGCAACGCATCCACCACCTCCTGGGATCTGTTTACTTAGTTTTTCAAGGCATCTCTGAAATCTCATGAATATTGTTCATGCCACAATTTCCATTACTCTTGGAACGGTTCATTTTTTAATATTTGTTGAAGGGAGATTAAATACTCACTAAAGTGTATTTGCATAAACTTCCTTTATTTGGCTGTCTACCTTTCTCTGGATTCCCAGTCTTATTGGTCTTGTGTGTTTAAATTGCTGCCCACATTAAAGCAGGGGACATCAGTCAGACAGACCCAGGTAGACATGGCCACTTGAAAGACACCATTTACCACCTGTTAATTATTTATATTCATCAAATCTCACAACAACTAGTTATTTTAACTACTTCCTTCTAAAATTAAGCAAGGCAGCTTGCACAGAGTCATAGTACCTAAGACAAGCTGAAAATTGTCTTCAGTTGGGAAAAAAAGGACAAAATAAAAATAAATGAAGGAAATAAGATAAAACCAAGTGTGAGAAGAGGACAAACGGCAATATGTAAGGGGATGGCCACCTGCTAGGCGCTATAACTTTCTCAGCAGCCCACACAAAGAAAGCAGCACTGCCTCCCGTCAGTGCCCAGAGATAAAGCAGACTGACTCTTCGGGAACATCACCAGGCACAGGGCAGTGAGGACAACTGCTCTAGCAGGAAAACAGTCCAGGGCAGGGCTGGTGCTCCTGAGAGCAGGATTTGGGGTCTAACCTCAGTCAAAGGGAAAGGGGCACTTGAAGACCAAGTCCTTGGCCACAAGGAGTGGCCACAGTAAGTTCAGGCATGTATAAACAAATGCCACGTAGGCCCAAAAAAAGGTAGGAGGGGGAAAAATAAAGCAGAAGTCAGAGAACCTGTGCCACACCCTGGCCAACATGGAGTTCTCAGTCCAGAACGCGCTGATTTCCCAACAGGACAGCTGGAGCAAAGGCACAGTGTACAGCTTGCAGGGTGACAGGAGATGCCATGGAGAGGCCTCGGAGGTGGAGAAGAGCAGTGATCTCCAGCGTTAGTGTGGATGGGAATCACCTGGGGGCTGTTAAACACAGATGGCTGGGCCCACCCGAGGGTCCCCATCCAAAGAGTTCATATATGCAAAGTGCCTAGAACAGCATCTCATACAGAGTGAGCTGAATAATCAAGTAGTAGTTGTTCTTCTTCAAAGTTGTATTCTTATACTTTAACAACTGTCCTCCCCACTAGACTGTTACTGATCACTCATTTATTTATTCATTCATTCTCATAAAAATGTACTGAGCACGTATCACTTATCAGACACTGTTCAAGGTGCTGAGATACAGTAATAAAACAGGTAAGGTCTCTGCTCCACAGAGCTTACAGTCTAGTAAGAGGCAGAAAACAATCAAACAACAAAAAAGTCTCGCAATCTCATGAGTGCTATGGAAAGAATAAAAGAGGCTCAGGTAAGGGAAGTAGAGTCAGAAAGACTTCTCCTAGGCCTGAACTGCAGAAAGTGGCCAGCTATGTAAACAGCTGGGGCAAGAGTGTTCTGGACAAAGAGAACAGCAAGTGCCAAGGCCCTGAGGCAAGAGCTTAACTGTGAGAGAACTAGTAAGACCAGTGTGAGCAAAGGGGGAGAATGATCAAGATGAAGTCAGATAATGTATTGGGTTGAAGTCAAGGGCAAGGGTTAGGTTTTATGGCAAAAGGGATGAGAAGTACACTTAGGTAAGGAGAGGAATGCTGGTGACCTGATGATTGCCACCATCTCTACTTATATTTTAAATTTATATAGGTCACGATTACATATTAAATAGCTCCAAAGTCACTGCTAAGTGGAGACTGGCTAAGGGTGGGGATAAAGATCATATGTTTAGAACAGTAGATGAAAAATGACAATGGCTTGGATCCTGCATGTATTCTGAAGGTGATTCTCGCAGAATTTTTAGGAGTCAGATGCAAGGAAGGGTAAAGGGTGGTATTAAGGATATTCCTTAGGTTTTTGGCTTGAGCAATTAGATGGATGACATTTGGTCACATTTAGCAACAAGATGGGCTACCAGGTACTGAGGACTCAGTACAAGTTAAGCGCTGTTCTCAAGTAACCCTGCCAGACACTCCCTAAAATCATCAACCCTACATTAAGAACCAATCTCTAACAACCCCGCTAAGAAGGTGACAGTTGTGGAACTGGCACAGAGTGGGGAGTGGGGAGCTGGGACTTCTGACTTGAGCCTGTGCTACTGACCACCATGCCACACAATCTCTTAGCTTCGTAAAATGGCTCAGTAGCATGAAGGCTATTTGTATGCCAGGTAGCCTTGAATCAGCAGAAAATAAGTCCTCAACAAATATCTGTCAAATAACTGACTGATATGCAAATACTTTGTAAATTGAGAGATGCTATATAAACCTTATTGTTAAGAAATTCTGATGGGCGGGGCATCGTGGCATAGGCCTGTAATCCCAGCACTTTGGAGGTTGAGGCAGGAGGATCACTTTGAGATGGAGGCCAGCCTGGGCTACATATCAAGTTAAGGACAGCCTGAACTGTCTCAAACAACAACCACCACCACCCAAAGAAATCCTGATGGGTATGGTGACACACATCTGTAACCCCAGCTACTCACACATCTGTAACCCCAGCTACTCAAGAGGCTGAGGCAGAAGGATGCAAGTTTGAGCTCAGCCCGGCCAACTTAGTGACTTGGCAAGATCGTGTCTCAAAATAAGAAAACATAAAAATGGCCGAGGATGTAGCTCAGTG